TGTTTGGTGTGACGGGGATTCAAACCCGCGACCCGCAGATTGTGAGTTGAGCGCCCTAACCACCTGGCCAAGCCTCAGGAAAAAAAAAATGTCTCGGTTATATATGAACATCGATTACTACACCTTTTAAGAAATTCTTTAGAACGTGAAGAATTGCCCTATGTTCGCGTTTTTATGTGGGTTTCGTTTCTTGACTCACGGGATTGTGAATGGTGAATAAATGATTTTTCCACATTAAACTGAAACAAAAAAAATATGTAAATTAATATTGTCAAAGTTTTTGTTTTTTTAAATTACTACGCTGAAATGTGGCATGAAGAAAAAACTATATACGATAGTATCTAAGCTTCAAAAAATCATTAAATAAAACAAAGCTTAAACGTTCAAGATATTTTAAATTTGTTAGAAAAATCTGCAGACCATGCGATGATTCGTAGTAGGAGTTTGATCATTGTATGAAAAAGGTATTAAGAAAAGGATTATATCCTATTTCTAACAGTACTCGACTCGATTTCTGTGGGTCTAGGGTTCGAATCCCATCAGCAAACATGCTCGTCCTTTCAGCCATGGGGCGTTATAATGTGACAGTCGATCCCAATATTGGTCAAGAGTAGCCTATGAATTTGCGGACGGTGGTGTTGACTAGCTGTCGTCCCTCTAGTTTATCACTTCAAACTTAAGGCCAGCTAACGCAGATAGTTCTCGAGTAGCTTTGCGCAAAAATCACAAACAAACAAAACCTAATAACAGTCCTTATGGCGTATCCTTTTAAACGAATTGTGTATGTATACATTCACGCACGTGATGAACCACGTTACTCCATGCAGCTGTTCCTGCTTCCATGTAAAATTGATTAAACTCGGTTATTTTACCAAATATTTTACAAGTCAGACCAAGCACATTTCTTTTCACTCTTATCGGGCACGTGGTTGAAACGTCATTGAACTTTAAGTACAGTGATACAAAACCAACTCTTTGTGAGAGCTACTACAGCTCGTGCATCTGACGGTTACTTTAGACAAGGCTTGGAGACATGCCACTGAATGCTGGTCAACAAGATGAGTACCATCTTACTTAGTGATAAAATAATTTGGCGCCAAATCAGCATATTCTATAACCTTGTTTTGTTTGTTTTTTGGCAGAAAAATTTAACGCCTTCAATGGAAATAATACCAGTCCAGTCGTTGCGTGTCAATACAAACTATAGGCACCCATAATGTTTTCTGCTGTACAGATAAGTTTCTCTATAGAATTACAGTTTCCTCTATATGCTACTAAAGGTTTGGAGACAAGAAACTTCATATCTATTGACCTTGAAAGTACAATTCGTGGTTTTACGGTATTACTTCCTGAGGTTCATTCTTCCCCTCATGATGATTACCAAGCATGCTTATCTGAGTACAACCTTAATGACGAGACAAATTAAAAAATTAACGGCAAAGTAAGTAGGGCTCGTTAGTTAAAACTTCGTAAAATGAGAGTAAGCAGTTACAATCTCGTATATTTTGATTAAAATTATATATATATGCATACATATTGCTTAAAACAGAGATACAAAATGGATAACTGACGCTGGAACCCTTCAACTGTCAAAAATAGACACTTGGAGTCACTTCTAGTCTCATTAGTCTCTAGAAGATTAACAATATCTCGGTAGCCACTGACCTTTAGGAAAACACTTATAAATTACAAGCTTTTGGTCTACTGTACAGCGTTTTTCAGTAGGTGTATCACGACGTCAACTGACGAGGGTGTTCTGAGAATATATACATACTTACTAAAGTAGCAAAAGTTAGCATATATTATGGTGAGATTTGGTGCATAAAATAATACTAACATCGCTTTCGCTGATAAAATGGATGAGGTTATAGACTCCGTCATTTTTAGATCGTTCACTGAGCATTGTGCACATAATTGTTTTGTTGTACTGCTAGATTTCATAGCAAATATAACAATTCCATAGATGATAAATTTCAAATTATTATCATACCACAATTCAATATTCAATAATTTCAGAAAGAAGTCAGGCCTTCAAATGTTCTCATCACACTTATAACAAAAGAAAAATATTTTGTGTTCAGCTTTAGTTGTAATCTTTCTCAAATCCCTTTCCCTTTTGTGTGAGCTTAAAGTGAGCTGAATGTGGCCTAGTGAATAGCGTGTCGGGCTGCGTATCAAAGTTCCAGGATTCGAGAAATGATACCGTTGAATATCTTTTGCACTTTTAGCTATGGGCGCGTTATAAAAGTGATTGTCAATTCCATTATTTGGTTCAAAGAGTCAGATAAAGCCATTGTGGCGGCAAGTACTGCTGGACGGCTGCTCTCCCTTTTATCAGTAGATCAAAATTAGGAGGGATAATACCTGAATCCTAGGAGTCTTATGACATGCGCATAAAGTTTTGACGTTTCAATTACACATTTTTGAAAACCGTTTCTAGAGAAAGAGCGGTAAGGAGTCAATTACTTTCTCATAACCCATGCTTTTAAAATTACAGGACAGATTATCTGGAATACAATTTGGAAGCGATTTGGTTAATAAAGACAATTAAAATCCTTTACTAAAATTACATGTGCAACTGATTTGCTATGATAGAACACAAATTTTGATTCAAAATATATTCCCAAGATGAAGACTTCAATGTTTGAAAGTAACTGCATAGTTATTTGGATTATAACATGATTTGTAACGAAGGTCCTTTTCTGAATTTTAAAAATATTTCCACTATAAATTTTAAGGTTATCGTAGTGACGAAAGTGTAAAGTTTGGTGGCGAAATATCTAGATGTTGTATTACTTTATATAAAATATTTATTCAATTTTACAGCAACTTGTAGAGTGTTTGTTTATACGTTTGAAGTTAAGCACAGAGCTACACAATGGGTTATCTGTGCTCTGTCCACCACGAGTATCGAAACCCGGTTTCTAGCGTTGCAAGTCCGTAAACATATCGCTGGAAGGTTTTGTAGAGTGTGGTTAAGTTTCAAAAATATTATTGGAAGTGTACTAGTGTGTTTGTTAGGCTTAATTTACTAGAATCAACGACTGAAAAATTACGCTTTAATATATTAATCTATCATCAATACATTTTGCAGTCTTGTGTATGTGAAAATGCAAGTAACAAAATTTTCTGATCTTTATTTTACACGATTCACAATATAACATAAAAATGTCAGTGTACTCTATAAGACACCTTGAGGAATTTACTAAGGTCTCATTAATTAACGGTGAGCTGTAATAGCTTTGGGCTAAACACAATAACTATTATAGTATTGATAAAAAAAGCAAAAAACTCTAAAAATGGGCAAAGTCCTTATTAAATTTAATTTATATTAACAAATTCATGAAATAATAGTTTTTGTTTTTACCATTCTATAGTTAACTGTAACAGCCGAAACAAAACGAATGGCCCTGCACTGACCTATTTCAAATGTTCTTATTGTTTTGGTGTCCTATTTCATTGCACTAACCATATGCTTTATATTTGTTTATAAAATTAGCATATTTATAGATTGAATATCACCATTCTGTGTTAAACTTACGAGATGATAAATCAGGGTGTTAGTGTTCAGTTTTTTGGCGGAAATCTTTGTCATAAGCTTTTCTTTTGTTTCTTTACAAGTTTACACGAACAAGACTAAAACATAAACGAGAGAGCGAAAGAGAAGTGTTTTCCAAGTGTTTTCTCCAGTTGTCATTTCGAGTTTGTTTGTTTTTCATTTGATTGTCAAGTATATATTGTTTCTTTAAGTTTCTTTTACATTTTCATATTTTTTTGGATTTAAGCACATAACATCTAAGTTGTGAGGCTTTGTTGTTGTTGTCGTTTTACCTTGACACTATTGTTCAACAGATATCCACAAAGAAGTTGAGTTATGTGCGACTTTCCAGACGTTTATAACTGACAATCTCCATCCTAACACGAAATTAAAGTGGAATGTTTTAGGATTAACACATAACTCACGAACTTATAGAATAATTAAATTTATTAACAAAATAAATACAGGTTAAACAGCAAGTATTCACTTCAGCAATTCCTAAATTACACAGAATAATTTACAGAAGATCCACTTCTCCCGATAGACCTTCTAGACCTATTTTAATTTCGGCTACGTAAATTAAATCTTAAACACGACTAATCCTGTTTAGTAGGATCGTGAAGTGTTGAATGCTAGGCTTAACATCTATATTTTGTTTGCTTGTAATTAAGTACAAAATTACACAATGGGCGAACCTGGATTATTTCATCTTTGACTTCTTTAATAACTCTCATATTTTAGTTATTTACAAACTTATTTATTTGGCCTACCACTTGCTGAAAATACGTATTCCGGATTATTGTTGGTGTTATGCTTAGAATATCTCGTAAAGTTAGGCTTAATTAATCTGTATTTTATTTTATACATTACATTAAACGATGATTTGCGGCCAAACTTTTAACAAATACAAAAAGTATATTCTTCAAACTTTTGTTCTGCAAAATAACATAATATTGTGTCCAAACATATCTAACGAAAAAAAAAACAACAACAATAAAACAATGTGATATGCCACCGAACAACACCAGCATAAGACAAAATAATATTAAAACAATAAACATATTCTGAAATTTTAGTGTAAATCTGGGTGACTTAGATTTGGAACACGTATTTCTACCACTCTTTTCTACGACTTAAATTCATAAAACTCGTCTCATTGTTCCAGTTCACTGAAAACATAAATTTGAATATAATCTTTAAAAGTTTTTAACACATTCCACAATAACGCGATTATTAATTTAATGACGTAATTTAATTTTACGTAATTTTAAATCATTAATAAGGCTTATTTTGAAGTGTGAAAACAGATACTTACTTTTTTGCCTTCTCTGAACCAGACGATTATCGGCGGTGGCGCCCCCTGTGTTGAACACACTAACTCCACTAAAGAACCCCAGGTAACATTGTAGACAGTTCTCCCACCCTTGATGTACGGTGGAACTGAAAACATGAAGACAGTTAAAAATTCACAATTCAGGAACAGCTCAAAGTAAATATACACAGCGTGGTCACAAGTAAATAGACACCTAATTTTTCGTCATTTAACTGATTTATGCTAACTAATTTGCATTCACAGA